ATAGTAACAATATTGTTTTGTTTTTGAGTGCTTCTTTGAGATTCGACTAACATTATTATCACTGACACCCATCAGTTGCTTTAAACGACTGAACTGCTTCTTATTTAATAGTTTGTCATGTTCTTATCACAGTAAATAAACGTTTCAAAAACGCTGTATCAATTTTGCCTGCTTTATTATTTAGTGCACTTCAGTTTTCTAAGCAACTAATAATGAAAATAAAAGAAGCACAAAAGCAATTTTTTACATTAAACTTACAGAGTCATCAAATATCTGACTTTTTATACGGTCAATTAATCTGTCAATAGACTTCGGTACTGCTGGTTGAGCTAAAAGACGCGAGAATCTTGTTCGTACTCCTTCATATATTCTCCAACGAGCCCGAAGAAGAAGATAACTTATTTCTTCTAAAAACTTTAAAAAACCCAATTTTACAGAACGTAAACAAAAAAATTTAGTTTTATTTCCTCATCTCTTCTTGTTGCAAAATTTTAAAGGTGCATTTATTCAAATAAATGAATCTTCTACTTTCTTAACACTTTTTTATTGCACTCATCTGTTTGAAACAGTTCTGATACAGTTATTTAGTAATATGCAGTTATCACTAACAAAAAAAAAAATGGATTTTGAACCATTGGCATGGAAGGCAATTGTTTGCAATGGAGTTATCAGTCGTGCTGAGTTCACTCGAAAAAGCACTCGTAAATGTTCTTCAGCTCTGGTTGTTATTGTATCATTTTTTAAGCATGAACACTTTATTTCTCGCATTCTTCGACCTTCAGCGATCAAATTTGCCGGAACCAAATCTACATCCTAAATGTGCAGACTGATTTCCAGTGCAAGAAGAAACTGTTAAGATTGAGATAAAATAGAGATTGTAAAAAACGGCTTCTAAGTGAAAATTAAGCGGTGCAACTTTTCTAAAATGCAACATTCTGGCTTAAAACAGTATCAGAAGCAAAGAAAACACTACCGAAATAACTAACTTGTATTAAACAAAAGACTACAAAAAAAATAATCTTAAATGTTTGAGGCATCAGAGTAACTGCTTTTCGTTTTTGCAACAACTGTCACCTTAGAAGTACGTAATTCCTGAAAGATGATAACAGTTCAATCACTAAATTAGATTAATATCGATTGTTCAGTGCAAAAGCATACTGCATTAGCAATTTTTTCCAGATAGCATCTATAGCGAAAATTTGTGAAAATATAACAGCGGTTTGTGCTAACTGATTCTACGATGTAGTTTTACAAGAATTTTTTGAATATAAATCAAAAATAACTAGAATTAAAAGTGGTCAGGTAAGGCAAGACAAATCAGCTAAAGACAATGAGAATAAAAATGATTACAGAAAACTTTTAGAAATACTAACAAACTGTGTTGAACATTTACAAATGATTGAGACAAGTTCAAGCAAGTAGTTTGTTCTTGATAAAATGCTAATACTGTAGAGCAGTAACATTATTTATAAAAGCGATAAATTTTGCTCGGTCAACTGCAGATACGTATCAAAAAATTCTTACCATACTAAACAAATAATTTTCCGTCTGTTTTTTTTCTAATAAAAAAAAACAAATTACTTCTTTTATCGATCCAAAAAAATAATTTTTTTT